GTATTATGCAGTTAAAAGATCATGCATTAGCAAACTCGTTCAAAAATTCTAATAGAAATGATATCATGAACCCAAACTATTTATGTTACATATTTATAAATTTCTTTAATTAGACTAAAAACTTAGTCGGTTAATTTTAGTTAACTAAGAAGTTAGTCGGCTAATTTTAGTTAGACTAAAAAGTTAGTCAGGTAATTTTAGTTAACTAAAAAGTTAGTCGGGTAATTTTGGTTAGCTAAAAAGTTAGTCGGGTAATTTTAGTTAACTAGAAAGTTAGTCAGGTAATTTTAGTTAACTAAAAAGTTAGTCGGGTAATTTAAGTTAACTAAAATGTTAGTCGGGTAATTTTAGTTAACTAAAAAGTTAGTCGACTAATTTTAGTTAACTAAAAAGTTAGTTGGGTAATTTTAGTTAACTAAAAAGTTTGTCGACTGATTTTAGTTAACTAAAAAGTTAGTCGACTAATTTAAGTTAACTAAAATGTTAGTCGGGTAATTTTAGTTAACTAAAAAATTAGTCGACTTATTTAACTAAAAAGTTAGTCGACTAATTTTAGTTATGGTATTTTTAGTTTAGTTAGTTACAATTTTTAGTTTTGGTCACAACACTAGCGAAAAGGCGATTTGCCTACACGTTCAGCAGTTTTGCGTTACGCAAAAACTTTAATCTTTTAGAATGTTTAAATTATCATTTGATATCTTTTATGTGACGTTTATTCAAAAGAAAATAAAGTCGTAAGTAAAAGCATTTAACCGCAATTGTAAACTAATAGATTTTTTGTTAAAGAAAAATTTGTTTATTTATTTTTATTGTTGTTGTTGTTAAAAATTAGTTTAAAAAAAATAAGTGTCTTAAGTTTAAACTTTTTATCATATTTAATATTAAGTTTTATATTTAATAAGTTTAAAAACATTCAAGTTATATAAAAAAATATATATATTTTTAATTTATTTTATTAAATTTAAATATTTTTTTATTAATCATAGTTTTAAGTAAATAAATTTATTAAACTTAATTAAAATTCTTTTATTTAATTTTAAAGCAGAGCTTTTTAAAATTTTTTTATTTTAAAATGCTTCGTTTTACAATTTTTTCTCATGATAAAATTTCCAAATTAAAAAAAGATTTAATAAATTTAATTCAAGTTACTTTAAAATGTTTGTATTACATATAACTTTATTTTAATTTCAGTCAAGTTTCAGGTAAGTTTCAGTTCCAAATACTGGTCTGAATAATGCACTGAACAAAAGCGCATTATTTTCCAGTTTTTATTTTTCCATTATTTTATATTTTCATTCATTATTTACAGAAGCACATCATTCATTTTATAACTAAATAACATCAATACAAAAATGTTATAAATAAATAACGTCAATACAAAAAAGTTCTATTTAACTCAAGTTATAAATGTTATGTTTGGGTTTTCCCTTAGCCGTTGCCAAAGAATTTTTTTTATAAAACAAACCAAAATTCAAACCTATTAAAAATAACGCGATCAGTAGATTAAACTCTTTAAAAGCCCAACTTATATTTATTTTATTTTAAAAACAAAACTAGTACTAGAGCTATAAATATAAGATACATAAATTTCAAAACTATAATGATATTTGTTAAAATCAAATTCTGCCTTCTAACATCTTAAAACCGAAAACACTATTTTTTTTTTTAAGGTTACACTGTACATAAAAATATATATATATATATATATGTATATATATATATATATATATATATATATATATATATATATATATATATATATATATATATATATGTATATATGTATATATGTATATATGTATATATGTATATATGTATATATGTATATATGTATATATGTATATATGTATATATGTATATATGTATATATGTATATATGTATATATATATATATATATATATATATATATATATATATATGTATACATATATACATATATACATATATACATACATACATACATATATATATATATATATATATATATATATATATATATATATATATATATATATATATATATATATATATATGTATATATGTATATATGTATATATGTATATATGTATATATGTATATATGTATATATGTATATATGTATATATGTATATATGTATATATATATATATATATACATATTTATATATATACATATATATATACACAGGGTGTTAGCTAGCCTGATGGCACCGCGTATAATGCGGTATTTCCAATTTGTTTAAATTTCCCAAAACTGAATGATCTTTTTTTTTTTTTGTAATAATAAGACAATTTAATTTAAGTTTCCCAATATTTTATAGAATTATAATAAAAAATATTCCCAGTATCACAGAAACGCGGTAAAAAAAAAATCCTGGCTAACACCCTGATGTATATATATATATATATATATATATATATATATATATATATATATATATATATATATATATATATATATATATATATATACATATATATACATATATATATATATATATATACATACATATATATATATATATATATATATATATATATATATATATATATATATATATATATATATATATATATATATATATATATATATATATATATATATATATATAAACTAACCACAAAAAATAAAAGTTGTAAATTGTCTTATTTTCTTTTAAGTTAGTTAGCTTCTCTATTACTAAAGCTTATTTCCTATTTTGAATTCCTATTTTGAATTTTCGAAAAAAAAATAGGGAATAAACTTTAGTAATAAAAACTTGCACCACGATCTTATACCTATCTTTTGATAGATATTTGAATGAGAAATGACAAAGATATAACAATTTAATTGAGGAAAAAATAAATTTAGACCACAGTATCTTCAACATATATCATAAATTCTTCTATATATCAAAAATTCGCTACTTGGTGCAGTTAAGGCAATTATAAAATATTATAGGGTCTGTATGCTATTTTGTTGACAAGGAAATATATTTCTATTAAATAATCAGGTCTGTGAATTATGAAAAGAGGAAAAAAATTAAAATGATAAATTTTGCTGTATCGTAAAATATAAATGTTTGTAGCAAAAAAAAACCAAGATTCTTTTTTTTTTTTTTTAATTTTTTTAAAATCGCTTGTCCAAATTTAAATGAGATTTTAATTAAATACAGTTTTTAGGTAAAATGTTCTGATCGTTTATTGGCAATTTTATAAGATCTTTCTTGGTCGAAATTCTAGTATTTTTTGTTAAAACTGATAGAAATATTGTATTTTGACAACTATTTATAGTTAATATACACCAGAAACAACTACAACTAGGATCTTTAGTAAATTAAGGCACTTTTTCAAAAGATTTCAAATGTTAACACCAATGACCGAGAATGATCTAAAGACTCCAAAATGGTGTTCTTTAAATTCACTATTAGAGGTGGTAAAAAAAGGGTTGCCATTTTTTTTTCCGTAGGAGAACATGGCGCTAAACTAATTAAAATTGAAGTTTTCACTGTGCTCTCCTACGGAAAAAAGAGGAAAATGGCAACCCTATGTAAAAAGGTTTTGAAAATTATATATAAAAAAAAGAAAAGTTTCTTTAAATATTAAAAGAAAAAATAAGGCTCTTGTTTGGACATACTATGCTGATAAAACCATACTAATTTCAGGCGCTAATTTACATCTCTACCCCCCCCCCCTATTTTTATTTTTGATTATGATAGAGAATTTTATCCTGATTAAGAATCGTATAAAAACATAGGTCTGAAAATTAACAGAAAGTGCTCTAATTCGATGTTGAAGTTTAAAAAATTACACTAAAAAACGCTAATTCGCCATTTTTTAAAAACATTTTATATCAAAGTTTACATTTAGAAATTGATCATATAGAAAATCTTTTTTTAATTATGCAACCCGGTTTTTATTGTTGCCAAAATTAAATTATATTTAAATTAAAATAAACTTTTTATGAAAATATGTTTTTTATTAAATTTTCAAAAATTAATTTAAGATATTGCTTTTTAAATGTGCATAAATTGACTGACAAATGGATTGGCGCAATTAAATGTACATGTATCAACTGATAAATAGGGATTGGTGTAATTGAATGTACATACATCGACTGACAAATAGGGATTGGTGCGATTAAACGTACATGATTTGGGACAGGGTTAGGGTTTGGGCCAGAAATCAATAAAAAAATGATAAGGTACGCATTTTTTAACCGTTTTGCTTTAAATTGTTGATAGAAACCAGGCTTTTTAAAAGTCATCTTATGAAAGGATTTTAATTATAATCGATAATAATAATCGAAAAATAATAATCGAGTATGAAAAAATGGCGAATATTAGTGTAATTTTTTAAACTTCAACATCGAATTAGAGCACTTTCTGTTAATTTTCAGACCTATGTTTTTATACGATTCTTAATCAGGATAAAATTCTCTATCATAATCAAAAATTAAAATAGGGGGGTAGAGATGTAAATTAGCGCCCTAATTTCAAATAAAAGAATTTGAGTAATTTGTAAATCGCCTTAACTACACCAAGTTATAAAAACCTCATAATTTTTTTTTTATAGGATTGTTCAATTTTTAGAAATTTTTCACTATAAAAATACTGTACTGAAGGGATTTCTAATCATATTCAATTTTCTAGTATTTAATTTATCTTCTTTTATGTGAATGACCTCCTGTTTATAGGTAAACAGGAGGTTATGTAGAAGGCACAATTATTAGCAGAGAGAGAAACCAAGACCCGTCACAAAAAAAAATCATTAAAAAAATTCCAGTCAATTTTAGGGTAGTAGTAAGTAGTGCAATGATACAGTGTGTCCAAAGATAAAGTACAAGATAAAAGATTTATAGAGATTTAAATAAACATATTTAATATATTTCTAAACTTTGAAGAGTCACTAATTTTCAAGTTTTTTTTAGTATAAAACCATAACCTGACATAAAACAAAACAATGATATCATACTAAAAAATGAACTACTTTTTAAATTATTTATTAGATGAAAAATTAAATAAAAAAACTATATGCTTACTCAGAAGGATAAAGTCGTATATCAGTAACTGTACCAAGAAAGCCAAACAAAGTTGCCATTTGTTGCAGTGTAGCACCAGGAGAAACATTTGTTATTTGTACAACTTTTCCAGTAAAAGAGCTCTCTTCTATTTTCCTTGATTCTTCTTTCATTTTTTGTTTCATTCGGATAAATTTATTTCGCCATTTAATTTTTGTTACTGTAAAAAATTTTGGTTGTGAACGTTACTCAAAAAAATACGAAATGAAGTATTCTCTTGAGTTATGACACTAACAATTTTTTGATTTACAATTTATTTCAGCTATAATTAAAAAAAATAAAGAAAAAGTTTGGATAAGACATCAAGTTTAGAACTTATTTATTTATTGTCATGCCTCAATAAATTACTCAAAACAAGAATTATGGCCATACGCTCACATGATAACACCGGTTTTTAATTTGAGCAACATGATTTTAATGGCTGCTTATCTACCACTAAATTTCGAGTATTAATTGCCGCAGAACCGCGGTAATTTTTTTTGTGTGTAAATAAAATGCTCATTTTAAAATGAGCATTTTATATTTATAAAAATTTTATATATATGCATTTTATATTTATAAAAAATAACTGTAAGTAAATTTATTTACAGTTAATTTTTATATAGTCCCATAAATAAATTAGATAAAGCAAAAAACAAACGAGCAAACAAAAAAAGAGAGAAAAAGAAAAAACTAAAAAGTTAAAAAAAAATACGATTAATGTTAATGATTCATGTCAGTAATTATTTATTCTAGTTTTTAAATTCACAGGGTACTTAAATACAAGGTTAACAAAAATTAATTACATTGCTTTTTAGAGTTTTAAAATAAACACTTAAAACAAAATCAATGATATATTAAGAATAACTACACCTTTTCTGGATCAATTTAAAAGGAATACGAATCAATTTAAAAGGAATACGAATTAATTTAAAAGCAATACGAATCAATTTAAAAGAAATACGAATCAATTTAAAAGAAATACGAATCAATTTAAAAGAAATACGAATCAATTTAAAAGAAATACGAATCAATTTAAAAGAAATACGAATCAATTTAAAAGAAATACGAATCAATTTAAAAGAAATACGAATCAATTTAAAAGAAATACGAATCAATTTAAAAGTACTTTCTTGTAACAGATGCTTTCGAACTTTACAATAAGGTTTTACATAACAAGAACTATGAAACAGTATATATAAATCAACAATCCAGAATGTATGAGCACATCATGTGCACATTGGCACCTTTACTGGAAGGCAATCTCACCACAGCTCTATTTCCCACCTTGGCTCGTCCATGAGTACGTCGTATAAAAAGGTTTACATTGCTCTCATCCACGTACGCTATAAATTTTCCAATGCCCGTAGCCTGCATAAGTTTCTCAAGGAACTCGCGACGAAGGAGTTTGTTGGTTAGCGAATTAGCAGCATCTGGTTGCAGATGAATTTGTTTTAGCGAGAACAGCATGCGGCCATTCAAATGTTCAGCTATGGTCTAAGACGCCATATTCACAGCAAAGTCTGCGAGCAACTTGGCGGTCATTTCTTTTAACGTCAGCTGAGGATTTTCTTCGAGCATGTGGATGAGAGCTTCTTCGTGGTGAGCTTCAATCTTGACACGCTGTTGAACCCTGCCGCCTCGATGTTTCTGGATCCAGGTGCCCTTCTTCACCCACGCGTATGCTGTAGACTGGTTGACTCCATTGGCTACCGCCACCGATATCCAGTCGTCTCCGTTTTCGGCAGCTGCAATGACTCGACGGCGAACTGTTGGCGTTGATTTCTCATATTTGCCCCTCTTGGTCCCTTTCTTGAAATTGGCGCTTGACTTACTTCGCCAGTTGATTCTGCATCATTTGTGGAAGTGTCATTATTGTTGTCACGCAAGAGGTTCATCCAATAACCACTCGATGAAGTCATTCTGAATGTGAGAAAAAAAAACATTTTTTTAAAGAGCGCTCTTTCAGTCCTAACACCGTCTGAAAAAGGTCCCTTATTTACGGTTTTGGAAAATTCGCAAACATACCCTTGTTATTTCATCCCCTGGCAAGCATTAAATTTATTTTGTCCTTAGCAAGTATCAAGTTTAGCAAGCATGTAGGGCACAATGTTGGTATGAATTATAAAAATAATTCACCGGGATAGTGAGACTTGTCAATGCAGTCACTACTGTATACCTGGGGTAATTTATGCTTAATTAGTCTAAAATGCCTCACACAAAAATTCTTGTAAATTTTTAAAAATTCTTTTATTTAAGTATAGGATAACATTTCCTTAAAAGAATCCTTGATTCCTAAATTCTAAACACTTTAAAAATACTCTAAATTTTAAGCTTTTAAATGCCTTATGGTAGGTGTACAGGCAGGCTATGAATTGCTTCCTGGTAAGTATCAATTTAATGTTGGTATGAATCATAAAAATTATTCTGTTTTAACATAAATTCACAAAATGACGGATATTAAAATCAAACATAAATTAACAAAAGTTAATGTATATTCTCCACATAAAAATAAATTCCCACTATGAAGGATATTAAATTCACCCACCTGAAAGCGCTTGGTGAAGATTTGTATACTTCGCAATGTCGTCACTTCCACCACCGGTCAACTTTAAACAAATAAGTATACTGTATATTTTCGTTGAAAACAAATTTTTATGCATTCATTTTAAAATTATTTTTATTTCTTTTAAATTGATTCGTATTTCTTTTAAATTGATTTGTATTTCTTTTAAATTGATTCGTATTTCTTTTAAATTGATTCGTATTCCTTTTAAATTGATTCGTATTCCTTTTAAATTGATTCGTATTTCTTTTAGATTGATTCGTATTTCTTTTAAATTGATCCAGAAAAGGTGTAGATGTCTAACTGCCGTAAATCGGTATAAGAAAAAGTGAAGCAAAAATCGGCCATGATGGGGGTCAAAATCTTTACGCTATTAATCAAAACAAAACAAATATGAAGCTTAAAATTGTTTAAAAATGTAATCAATAAAAAATCGATACACAGATATCTGAAAAATTTGATGTTATTTTTATTTTGATTTAAAATTTAATAATTATGTAAGCATGCATTTTTTTTTTTAACATTTTAAAATCATACTTATTTCATTTTTTTTATTTTAAAATTTAAGTTTGAATGATTTTAAAATTTAACATTCAGCTAAAATCTTAGATTTAGTTGGATTTTAATCTTTAATCTATTAACATTTTATGCACTTGTTAGTCATTAATTACCCTCTGCAGTAATGCTAGGAGGTTTTATAACATAACTGCAAGGTAAACAGAGTTAAAACTTGTAATGAAACATTTTATAAAACTGTCTTGACTATTAACTAAGTTCTCTGTAACACAACTTAGAGGTTCCTTCTAGAATCGTTAGAATTTTATTTATGGTTAAATACTTCTTGTTATCATAAAAATCATTATTACTTTTTTCTATAATTGATTTACCGTCAATTAAATAAATTTAATTCAATATAATAATATTATGTTATAATCTAGTAAGGTTTTCAACACAAAAAAAAGCTTTATAGGTATTCAGGTATATAAAAAATATCTTTCCTTTGAAAAGCAACTTTTTCAATATAAACAACAAATCAAGAAAAGTAACAGATAATAAAACTTAATTTAATATTTTTATTTATAATATTTTCATATATATATATATATATATATATATATATATATATATATATATATATATATATATATATATATATATATATATATATATATATATATATATATATATATATATATATATATTTATGCTATAAACCTTTGAATAAAATTAATTTATTTGATTGTTGACGTAGACCAATCATTATATATATATAGACCAACTTTTCTGTATATAATTGGCCATATCTTTGCAGTCTGATTGTAAAAAAGTCATTTGCTAACATTTTTATTAGTTGTGTGCAATGCATGTCTTCGGTAACAGCTTCATGGTCAGCATCGTGTTCATTTAGGTCTTTAAAAAAAATGTTTTTCAATAATAATTTTATTAACTGCATAAATCAGTTTCAGTTTAAGATTTCGTTCCACATTCATTTTTGGTTTTTTGAAATTGTCATTGCTGACATAAATTTTGAAAACGCTCTGATATACTATTATAGTTTGTATAACACCATTTTTTGGAGCAATAAGCACATTCCTATTTTTTATGTTAATCAATGAAAGAACTGATGCTCTATAAGAATATTCCACAAAATTGTTTTGTGTGAGTTTGCACACATAGAACATGTTATCTTATAATAATCTTCTTACAATGAATCCAGAGCTATTTAAAAATTACAATCCTTAAGTCGCTCTAAATCACATAACACATTTCTAGTTAATTTTAGCAAATGACTTGGGTCAGGGATTACATACAAGTAGTGATAATAGCCTTCAAAAGTAAATTGTCCATTAATTTTTTCTAGTCTTTTCCCAAATGTACATCCTAGTGATGCAACAGAATTAAAGTTAACACTTACACCACCAAATGTAATTTTACCACATTAATTTTTTTATCAGAAGAAATTGTTAATGCTTTTTTAATAAGACATGAAAGGTTTTCAGTTGTTATTTTACTACACAGCATAAGGCCAATAGGTGTTTTCCAATGACCTCGTAATCCTACCAGCATAAATACCAATGCTTCTGTAGCTGGTGTATCTTGACCTGCCTTTTATCACTTAGAACTGATGTTTTGATTACCATTGCATCTATAATTAATGCACAATCTTTATAATTAATATCAGCCACTGCTTTTATATTAATATAACTTAAAACATCTTCAAAAAAAACCAGTTTTACAATCTACAAAAGTTTTTAAATCTACATTACTGTTATCGCTTATATCCGAATAGAAATCGATGTAATAGTGACTGCCTGTTTCTGAAACTTTTTAAATGAGTCTCTTTTTATTTGTTTGTGACGATATAGAACTAAATTTTCTTTTGACTTTTAGTTTTGAATCAATAATAATAGATGGCATAGAAAAAGGTTTTAATTGCGGTTTGTTATTAAAATCAGGTATATTGTAATCTGAAGGTAAAAAGTGATCACTACAAATGCAGCTGTGCTCAGTAGGAATATTTTACGTTTTATAGCAACAATCCACTTTTTACAGAGTTCGCTATTACTAATTGGAAATTTATGAAATACTCTGTTGTTGTTTTTCATTGCTCTATTTGTGCAACCTGCTGCTGCACAAGAATTAACCATGATTTCTAATTTTTGAATATTAAATATTATTTGATCCAAACAACCGTGATTTACTATTTATTTTTGCCCCCCATAATGGCTGATTTTTGCTTCAAAAAATACGCGGAAGTTAGACATCTAGTTATAGACATCTAGTTAATATATCATTGAACAAATTAAACCAAAACCAGTGTTCCACCCTAAGTCCGTTTTCAACCAAAGCCGGGCTTGGGGTGATGTTCCACCCCGAGTGCGGTTTTTCGTTGAAACTCGGGGTAGGTCAGTTTTACTTGGGGTGAGTGACTTTTTAATGCGAGTTGATATTTATAATGTCATTTCAAGCAAATTTTTAAACTTTAAAAATGCAAACACTCAAGAGCGAATGATTTTTTGAAAATATTTTATGATATATTATATAATTTATTATATTTTAACATTAGATAAGAATAAAAAAAATAAAAAATTATTGTTTCGTATTAGTATATAAAAAGTTGTATTGTATAATAATGTATATTAGTATTGTAATATATTACAAATAGTATTTGTATAATAATACAAACGTATTTGAAATATGTATTGGTATCATAAAGTCTATGAATGTTTCATGTCTAATTTTTGTAATCCTATGATAGAAAAATTGTTAAAATGAATCCTGAATGTTTTGAACAGCAAAAATATCAGTTTGAAAAATGGTTAAATCTTAACAACAAGTCAAACAGCTCTGTTTTATCAGAATGTGAATATACTTCCATTATCGAATATTTGAAAGATAAAAATGATGGAAAAACTGGATATATTACTTCACGGAATATTCAACGAAGAATCAAGTCAAACAAGTTTAAACTAATTGATTACCCACCCTTAGGTTTAAAAGATATTTTATGTGCTCCAACTAAATGTAATACAGAGGTAGATTTTATCTGCTATATTTACTGCATATATTTGTTTTCTATCATCAAATAATTATACTGCATTATATACTGAAAAACAAATTTATGATATTATCTTATTATAAGATATTATCATAAATTTGATAAGATATAAGATTTATATTGTAACGCAAAGTTTCACCCTGTGTACACAATTTGTGTATACATGCATTTTGTGTATGCTATTTAACTTTTATATGTCGGAATAAAAGTAAACAGACTATACAGCACATTTTATGCTTTTTGTTGTATCGATGGATACAACGATACGTTGTATCGTACAACGATACAACGAAAAGCATAAAATGTATAAAGCTTATAAAGCTGTACGATACGTTGTATCGTACAGCTTTATAATACAGGGTGAAACTTTGTTAGATTTTAGCTTCGATAGATAGAAACTTTAATAGATTTTTTAACAAAATTTGTCTGTGCATTAAATAGTAAGTTTAAAGGTAAGTGTGTTTAAAAATATAATTTTATTAATATTATATCATGCTGTATAGTATATTTAAAGTGTTTTAAAATTGGTTTTAAAGTTTTAATAAGTAACTACTGCAGTTTCTCCCCCCCCCCCCCCTATTTTTTATTGTTGATTATGATAGAGAATTTCATGCTGATTAAGAATCGTGAAAAACATAGGTCTGAAAATCAACAGAAAGTGCTCTAATTTGATGTTGAAGTTTGTAAAATTACACTAAAACGATTCTTAATCAGCATGAAATTCTCTATCATAATCAACAATAAAAAATAGGGGGGGGGGGGGAGAAACTGCAGTAGCGCCTTACAGCTTTATAATACATGGTGAAACTTTGTTAGATTTTAGCTTCGATAGATAGAAACTTTAATAGATTTTTTAACAAAATTTGTCTGTGCATTTAATAGTAAGTTTAAAGGTAAGTGTGTTTAAAAATATAATTTTATTAATATTATATCATGCTGTCTAGTATATTTAAAGTGTTTTAAAATTGGTTTTAAAGTTTTAATAAGTAAATATCTAATTAAATTTATTTATTAATTCAGAATAATTTGCAAGAATCATCGCCATTTGGAAACTACAGTCGTGTAGCGAGTACTAAAGATGTTTTTTCTGTTATTAATATTGCACATTGCCAGAATGGTCTGCATCTTGAAGCTTTAAAAACTTATAAGAAGGTACTGATTACTTACTAATATTTTTATTTTTATTTTATGTTGTGCTTTTTCTATTGTGATAGTCATGGTATATTTACTTTTTATATGCTGTGGAAAATATGATATTGTACTAATTTTATCTACCTTCAGATAAATACTAACTACCTAAAATATTATAGTTTTCTACATTTTAAAGATTCAGTTTTAAATGTAGGGGCTTGCTGTATTTATAAATTAACTTTTTTTTTATAGATTATTGAGGGTTATGCAAACATTGCAAGAAAAACTGTTGAAATTTTTATCAGTTTCTGCCCAACTTGCAATTTAAATAAAAGGCAGTTAAAAAAAGCACCATTACAACCAATAATTTCTACTGGTTTTTTGCAACGTCTTCAAGTATAATCAGTTTTTTACTTTAAATTTCTAACCATGTTTTTTTAAATAGTATACTCATTTGTTTTTTAACCATGTTTTTTTAACTAATATACTCAGTTTGTTGTTAAATATAACTTTGTTGTTTATTAAATGTTATTCTGCTATTTATAAAGTTTGACTATTTATATTATATTTATATAATAAATATACTTAGATTGATTTGATTGCAATGGAATCTAAGCCAGATAAGGAATTCAGATATATTGGTCATGTTATTGATCATTTCAGTAAGTTTCATATTTTGTTTCCTATGAGAAATAAAACAGCTTTAGAAACAGCAAACAATCTTAAAAGGTTTGTGCTGAGTTACTTTGGTTTAACAGCAATTTTGCATAGTGACAATGGTAGTGAATTTGTAAATGATGTTATAAAATCACTTTTGTTAACATGGCCTGGGAAAACCCAAATTGTAAATGGTTCACCAAGACATTCTCAAAGTCAAGGTTTAGTTGAACAGGGCAACTTTACCATAGAGCGAATAATATCTTCTCGTGAATATGATTCTGGTCAAAGTAACTGGTCAGAATGGTTGGTTGAAATTCAATGTAAGTTTAATGTAAATTATTGTTTTTTTTTTAATGAAAAGCTTATGCTCAAAGTTAATCAGTTTTATTGCCACTACAATGATAGAATTTTTTTATGTAACATATTTTGTTATCATTTTGACAAACAATTTACTGTAATAATATAGAAAAAAATATTGTATTTTTTTCCCCTAAAAATCTAACTAAATTTGTATAGATGTTATGAATACTACATATGTAGGGAGCATAAAAACGACACCTTATGAGATTGTGTTGGTTAAAAACCAAATGGACAATTCCCTTTAGAGGGTAAAGAAGTAAATGAAGATGATGTTGCAAACATAATTGAGAATCCTAATCAAGGTAAATTTAAAGATGAGTTAAATATCAATCCTGTTTGAGTGAGTTAAATGTCAATCCTATTAAAAAATCATTTTTTGCAATATAGCAGGATGAACATAAATTTCTTTTTTTTTATCTTTTTTTGTCATTTGTGTCACAAAATTGTTGATTTTATAATAAAAAACCTGGATTACTTTCTTCATTTTTATTCATTAATCAAATAAGTTATTTGAAATTCCATTTTGTGTGTGTGTGCAAGTTTCTTTATAAAATATTGGATGGTTTATTCATTTTCACTATAAATATCTGAAATTTTTGTTATTGACTAGATGTTGCTGATGGTTGGACAACTGACACTCCAGAATGCAGCAGAACTTACAAAAGCATTGCAAAAGCAAAATGTATTATCTATTATATTAAAAATTGCTGTGCATTTTAATTAGACCAGCAATTGTACATTTTGATTAGAAAAATGCCTCATGTTATTTATTTTCCAGATGATGGAGGTAGTAACACTGCAGAATGCAGTGGAACTTCATGTGATATTGAAGGTAACTTACTGTTTACTTTGTTATTACTTGTGGTCTTAATTATAATTGTTGTCTAACAAAAATGTTTGACAACCATTAAAACTTTCAGTTTTCATGTCTTTAATTGAATTTTTTGTTTTCAAATACTTAGAAATATTTTGTTTTTAGTATACAAAATATTTTTTGATCTTCTTTATTTCCTTATTTTTGTATCAAGGTGGCTTAAGTGATAACACTCTCACTGACGGAGAAGACTGTGGTATTGTTGACTTTTCGTACCACCATGAGTCTGAAGAAGATACTAAAGATAGGATGAAGGTATAAAAAAATATTTTATAATGTTAATGTTTTTCAGTTAAAAAAAATCTTTCGAATTAATTTTTTTATTCAAGTTTTTATATCAAGTTGTGTTTTTAGATAACTTGTCCAATTCGCAAGAAACTTTGCCATGAAACAGCAAGTAATCTTGAAAAAAATGCAAAATTCATGGTTAAAAAGTATAATAAACAAAAAAAATTTAAAGTTGCAGTTTTCAAAGAAGGTGATCATGTCAGTGTGGCTATACCAAAATCATTGCGTAACTTTACAGATATGCTGCGTTTGCCATGTGTTGTTCTTCATAAGTCGTTTGGGGAATATCCAACCTATAAGTTGGTGAAATCACATGGAGTTCTTGAAAAAAGATTTAATGCCACCTACTTAATGCCATACAGCAGTATTGTCAAAGTTAAAAGTGATGCCAATGTTAGCTTAAGTGAGGCCGTCTTAAATGAAATCACTAGTAAAGTAGTCTTTTGTCGATGTAAAAAAGCTTGCCAAACTAAGCACTGTCGATGCTTTGAAAATGGAATACCATGTGTCTCACGATGTCATAAAGGAAAAACGAAAAATTGCAAAAACAACAACCCCCATTTTTCTGTACAGAGTGAAAGTAAGTCAAATGAAACCTTAGACCAATTATTTTCTGAAGCTTTGAATTATTTTATTTAACACCATTAATAGAAAATTAGATTTTACTATTTTGTATGAATAGTATATAAATCATATTGGTTTTTGAGGCTTCCAGGCATTAAGTACATATATCAACTGAGCGTTTTGGAGGATTTTGATTTGTTATAGTTTTGTGGCAGTTTTTCCTTTGAAATAAAATGTAATTAAGTAATTCATTTTGAACTTCAAATTCATTGAACATTTTATAAACAAATACTGCTTTTTAAATTTTAGGGAATGATGATAGTTTAACTGAATCAGTAGATACTCAAATGGCAATAATATCCAGTAAGTTTAACCTTAAGTATAGTTAGTTTAACTTTCAGTAATTTCTAATAAGAATGTTGCAAACCAACAACAACTTTCAAAATACTTGTTTTTTCAAGTTCTTTGCAATAAATAAGAATATCTATTTTGTATATTTATAGCAATCAATGAGCAAAAATTATTAGAGTTTAATCGCAACAATATAAATGAAGACGAAGATTCAGGTAACATTATATCACAGTATACAAATTACTATTTATAAATCATAACTGCAGCAGATTTTTAAATTTAATTTATAATAAAAAGAAAGTTTCACCATGTTGCCTCGCCTAAAGTTCAGTATAAATTAAACTGTCTTCTAATGCATTCTTAGATATTTTGTTTCTGTTGAGTGTGGCAAAAGTAATTGCATAATTAAATTTCAGGCAATTCCCAAGATGTAGTGGCATTTAAAAGAGATGAAGTCTCAAATGTGAAAATTTCAAATAGTGAGTTATTTTTATGTTGTTTTTTAAAATATCTATAACATTTATTATAATAACGAAAATATAATAGCAAAAAAGTTTATAAACATGCTTTTTGTTTTTTATCGGAGGCATTTTTTGCTTGCCTTGTGTGTGTATGGCAATATGTTTGTATCTTCTTTTTTTATTTAATTTTTACTTTTATGTAAATGACGTTTGTTTTAAATACATTCACTCTCGATATCTAGATATCTCCAACTTTTGAGTATCTCTAACTTTTTTTGAATCCCGTTGAACCCTTAATCATATTATACTCTCGACAACTCGAACATTTGCTATCTCGAACTAATTTCTTGGTTCCTTGGAGGTTCGAGATATGGAGAATTGACTGTATTATAATTAAATAAATGTATTCTTTTAATTTGTTGCATTTTTAGCGACGGAACTGTCCATTACATTTGAAGAAAAAGACATATTTCTGGACCACTTTAAAAAAATGCCTCAAAATGGTGATATTACTCATTATCTAGCTTTAGACGATGCCATCAAAGACGCGCGAGATTTTTCATTTGCATATGGTGACATTACACGTCAAAATAAGATGATAGATATCCACATTGATGTCGGCGATAAGTTGGTTTCGTTAATAATTAGTGTTTATAAGCATTTGAAGTTAAATACAGTAATTGCCCTTCAACAATATGCTGCAAGAAAATACAATTTAAACAAAATGGTTTAATGTGATAAACTTTCAATTAAACAATTTAATATTGCTTTAACTTGATGATTGCTCAAGTTTATAAAAGTTTTTTAATCTGCATTCTTTTGAATTTTACTAAACTTGTTAAAATGTTATCTGTTTTCACATAATATTATGTTTCCAAATGAATACTTTAATAACTTGTTTTATGAAAAAACTCTATATTAATTGCAAAAAAACCTTATTTTGTAACATCTGTAAATATAATTTTCCATAAAAACTTTTTCCCGCAACAAAATGTTTGTTTTGCTATAGGTTTAGTTACATTCAATAAAACCTGTAAATATTATCCAAATAATTTAGTGACCGTTTATCGTTTTTTATAATACAATAGTAATATGCTATAAATATCGTTTTCATAATGAATTATGATTCCAGTTTAAATTTGTTCTATTTGCCAGTAGGAAAAACTTTCGCTTTTGCGCTCTCTTTACCGAGCTTATATATTGAGCTTAAAATTTCCCTTGTTGGTAAAAAAAAAAGAGGAAATTCACCGAGAGTACCGTAAAGAATGCAGGCAATTTACGGAAGCTCCAATAAAAATTAGTCAATTTAAAAAAAATAGTAAAATGGTACTAAAGTTGAACATTTTTTGAATATAACTTTATTATCATACTAACTCAACTCTACATAAAAGGTATGGACATATGTTTGCCCGAAACATTGATATAAGTTTGTCTAAAAAATATATTTCATTTTGTTTAAAATCTTTACAGAAAAAGCCATAATTTTAAAGAAGAACATCGAAAATAAATATTTGTACTTTTATTATTTTTTATAACGCAAATTTTAATAATCAAAAATAGTTTTATTTATTTTATATTACGCTATCAATCCGCTAAAAAAAAAAAAAAAAAATCCGCTAAAAAAAAATCAGCATGTTGCAAAAATAATAACTTTTAAAACTTTCGATATCCGTACTTGGGATATGCGAGTTCGGCACTCCAAGCCAGGCTTTGCGTAAAAACCAAACTCGGGGTGGAACACCAGTGTGTAATAAACATCGCTTTGATTTAATTTTAAACGCCGACGACACGGGTTTCGAAAGGGGAGGGGGCACAATAGTCAATTTCTAAAAAAAGTCCTATAACTCTAAAGTATTAAGCAATGCCATTTAAACCTTACTTTATCTCCATTAAGTTATTTTTAATTTACACTTTTAAAATCAACAAAACTGTTTGCAGATGTATATTAAGCCTGCTGCTGAGGTGAAATTCAAATCATGGCAAAACCATACAGGTTTTTGGTGCTGTTGTTAGCATCTTTTGACCAAAATCACAATATAAAAATGGTCAAAAGTTCTGTTTTCAAAACAAAGGGAGGTCTGAAAAGATGTAAATACGGATAGAATCAAAGCTGAAATCCTTCTGAAAGCAGTTTTATTGATAAAGACTAGCCATTAGGTCTTAAATTGTACATTTCACCAGACTACTGGGTAATTTTTGATTTTTTAAGTCATAGTTTACAAAATTCCTACGGATGAGACTCCCTCAGACTTTTTGGGTACAATCAATTTCAAAACTTTTAAAATCTTTCAAAGTTGCTAACAACTCATTAGAGCTCATAGCAAAATCGTAAATCTATTAAGCATAGTTTAAGAAATTTATTTCTCAAAACAAGAAATATATTTCTTGTTTTTAAAAATAAATTACAAGGTTGGATGATTATATCTTAAAACAAAAAAAGCATTTCTTGTTTTAAGAAAAAAATTTCGTTTAAAAAATTCCGTTTTGCTGTGCTTACACTGCTAAAAAAATAGCTCGTTTTTTACGGAAATGTTCCGGCAGCTGCCGATGACCAAGCTACCCGTTATACTACGGAAAAACCCAACGGATACTTCCGTTTAAATCTTAGACCATATAAACTGATAGACACGGCGCTAGTTGAATAAAACTCATCTCAAAGTGAAGCCAAAATAAATTTTGTGCGGTGACGTCACTCTGTGGCAAAAAACATTTTTTAAAAAAGGGTTCGCTGTTACATTTATCTCATTTTTTAAATCAATTTTTATTATGGTGCATTCTTGCAGTGCATACAACTGCACAGAAAGATATAAAAATGGTTCAGACATATCAATTCATGGGTAAGAATTTGTAATAAATAAAAAATAATTTAATATCATATAATTAATAATTTTGAGTCATAGCCTATGAAAGTATGGAAATAACTTTAATAAGATGTCATTCCTATGACATAGGATTCTAAGATTCGTGGTTGTCAACACAATGTATTTACCAATAATAATGACACATAATGATATTATGATATTTTTTTATCTACCACGAATCTTAGAATCCTATGTCATAGGAATGACATCTTATTAAAGTTATTTCCATACTTTCCATGCATACATACAACACTGTTGTGAAGCATCATGCTACACAACAATGTTAATGCTAAGCATGCTTTGGGTTTTAAATACGTTTTGATGAATGGTAACATTTACCATTCACCTATTATATTTACACTATATTATATTTACACCATACATATTACATTCAACCTATTATGTTTACACCATACATATTACCCACAGACTGTTAGTAATAGTCTATATGTATTCAAAACCCTAAGCATAAGTTATAGTTTGAAAATTACTAAAATCTAGCATACTGTTTATAAAATCTTGTTTTTAAATTTTTAATTTCTGATTTTGGAGTTTAAACAATTATTAACATGTTAATAATTGCTATAACGTTGTTAATAAACAGTAATATCAGTTGGTATTTGTTTAAAAATTTTAATTATGTATAAACACTAATTATAATTTGTTTTGTTTTTATTTATGAAATATTTTTATATTGTAGATTTCCAGAAGATTTATTAATTCGGAATAAATGGATTGTTGCAATATGTAATAAATAATCGTACATTGTTTGTGGTTGGAGTTTAAAAAAGCAACTTAAAAAAGATGCTATACTTGGAATTAAATGATTTGTGGAAATTACCAATCAGCTACTTTTTAATTAATGAAATCTCAGCAATTCAAAAGAGTTACTTGGTAAAAATGTGTTTAAAAATATTAAGCGAAGTTGAAATTACTATAACAAGTTTAACTTTTGATGGTGTTTCGTCTAATATTAGTATGGCTAATCATCTTGGAGTTGATTTTTCTGTTAACTCTACTTGCACATGCTTTTCACATCCAGTTGCAAAAAAGCCAGTTTACATTATAATGGATCCTCCACACATGTTAAAACTGATAAGAAATAATTTTGGTTTGCACAAAATAATGTTTGATTCTAATAATTAACCAATAAAATGGGATTATGTTGAAAAGTTAGTAGCTATTCAAGAAAAGGAAGGGCTGCATTTAGCAACAAAACTTACAAAAAGACAAATTGGTTTCAAGAAAAAATTAAGGTCAAGTTGGCTGCACAAACATTTAGTCAAAAAGTTGCAAAAGCAATAGAATATTTAAGAGAAAGTCAGTACTCTAAGGCTTTTGAAGACAGCAAAGCAACAGAAAAATTAATCTATAATATTAGTAACATATTTGACATTTTAAATAGCAGGAATTTATTAGCTAAAAGTTTTAAAGCTAGTTTACAACAACAAAATAAAGAAGCTATTTTCAAAAAAATAAAAGAGTCAATAGAATATTTAGTCTTAAATGTGCTAACAATCGAGGGCCTATACATTAAAGTCAGAGAAAAACAGGCTTTATTGGCCTGAAGTCTTTTATGGGAATATGGAATGACTATGTTCAAAATAGCAATAGTAGTTTAAGGTATCTTTCTGCTTACAAATGATCTCACAGCAAAACAATTTCAAGCTGCCTACAAAAAATTATTAATGCACACAAGTGTTTCAGGTTCTTCTCAAGCCAATTGCATTGAGCAAGCACCATCGATAATTTTAGCAATGAGTACATTAAAATGTTAAAATGAAAACAATTGATCATCAGCTCATTGAAGATTTTAAAATGGAAAAAACTAATTCTGATGACCATGCATATGCTCTAAATGACAGAGTTATTCAAGAAAATTATTGTTATATGTGTCTGATGTTGTCGATATATTGCTGGATTTGTTGTAAAAAAAGTTAAAAAGGTTTTATATTGTGACATTTTATTCACATATGTAAACTTGCAGAAAGTGAAACTAGAATTTTTCAGGAAGAAAAGAGGAAAAAAAAATATAATGACAAAATTGATTATTAATATTCTTAACAGTGTTCGCAGTTCTATTTTTATTGATAATAGAGATCATATGTTTGACAATGATGTTCAATCTAATCATTTGGTCAATTTAGTAAAAATGATTAGCTTCTATTATTGTAACCTTAGGTTATACCACCAAGCAGATACTTTAAATAAACATTCAAAAAAACTACGAAGTAAATTAACTAAGAGTTTTTTATTTTGTGGTCAATAATATATATATTTACATATACATTTAACTTTTTGTTATTTTTAACGTCCAATAAAATCGAGGGTTTTTCATTAATTTAAAAGTTTTTGGCTTAACGAAATTGTTTAGTAATTGATTTTTATTAGAATTAGTCTTTATTAGAAAATGAATCCTAAAAAATAAAATAATTTTCTATAGAAGGATTAAACTTTCTTTCATAAAGTTCTTAAGAGTTCTTTTAAGAACAAGTTCGTTTTAGAAACTTAACTAAAATCCTTTTTATTTTGCGTTTTTTTGCCACAAAGTGACGTCATACGCGAAAAATATTTTGGCTTCAACTTTTTCAGAAAACGCCGTGTCTATCAGTTTATATGGTCTAAGGTTTAAATTAAACAAGCTTTTCTCGTTAAACAACAGAAAAAGTTACAGCATAGTCCTAAGAAATATATAGTCTGGAAGCAAACAATAGCGCTTTGTTTATGTTTTTGTTCCAGAAATTACTCGTTCTCATTCTTCCGAAGGTGCACAGTAAACATAAACATCGCATAGCGAAAGTAACGATCTCCTTATTTTCTTGATACTTTTATATTAAATTTAAACAATTGTAATTTATTTTAGTGAATTGATTACAATTTGCTTTATTATTATTTGTTCTTGCAAGCTTGGCATTGTTAAAAAAAAAAAATTCATTCAAAATTATGCAAAACTACATTATCCCATGTCAATAACTTGTTATTATTAGACAACGTCTTAATAAGACGTTGTCTAATAATAATAAGTTAATGATATATATATAAAACTCTTATTGAATAAGACGTTGTCTAATATTACTTAAAAAGCTCAAAAGTCTATGAAATAATTTTTCTTCGGTCTAAAACATGACTTTAAATAAATATGAAAATTAAAGACAATATATATATATATATATATATATATATATATATATATATATATATATATATATATAAAAATATATATTATATTTATGTATATATATATATATATATATATATATATACATATATATATATATATATATATATATATATATATATATATATATATATATATATATATATATATATATATATATATATATATATATGTATATATATATATATATATATATATATATATATATATATATATATATATATATATATTATATTTATGTAATATATATATATATATATATATATATATATATATTATATTTATGTAATATATATATATATATATATATATATATATATTTATATATATATATTACATTTACATTTTTAGTTTAGAACATAACACTTCTGTGCCTAATGCCATCAATATATATATATATATATATATATATATATATATATATATATATATATATATATATATATATATATATATATATATATATATATATATATACATATATATTGATGGCATTATGCACAGAAGTATTAAGTTCTAAACTAAAAATGTAAATGTGGCAAAGACACTTTGAACATTTATTCATAAAATATCAATTAGTAGACTCGTAATATCAATTAGTAGACTCGTAACAATTTATCATACACTGACCATATTTGGACAGAATAATCTTTGAAAAATACAACAGTTTTTGTGAATTTAGCTCAATTTGACCAAATGTTGTATTTCACACTTCTGCACATAATGCCATCAATATATATCTATTTAGTTGTGTCAATGAATTAAAAACTAATAAAGTTTTAATGTATTTTGACTCTTTGATACATCTAGAATTAAAGATATATTTATGTGTTTACACAAGAATTTCCAATAAAATATATCAATTAGATTTTTGATTTTGTTAGACTTGACTACATAGAACAGCAGTTAAAGAAATAAATTTACTAGATACAATGTTAAATTAAAAAAATATTAAGCAAAATATTAGTAATATTATTTTATTAATACTAATTTATTTGTCATTCTCAGAATTTTTTAAACAAACAAAAAAACTTACAAAGATTTGAAAAAATGATTTTTTTAAATAAATTTTAGTTTTATATTTTTATTGGCAATATAATAAATATCATAAACAGTAAAGTAATTTAAGAATTTTGAAGCTAGTGAAAAAAATCTAACACTTAATATTCATAATAGTTAAATGTTCAAAAACATCAAACTTAAATACATTATACTGCATTTGCTTATACGCATCATGAAAAGTAAAAATAACTTGGAATTTTACTAACCATTAATAAAAATTGCCTTTTGTTAGTCATGAATAGTGAAATCCAATCATTGAAAAAACATTTTCTTTCTCAGAATGTCAAAATCAAAATATTTCTACCAAATTTCAAGTTTTTGTGTCAAAGAACAAAAAATCAATCAACATTAGTATTGATTTTTGATCTTTTGACACAACACAATAAACCCATTTTACAAACATCTGGAAAAAAATGAAAATAATTATATAACATATTATTTATATATATATATATATATATATATATATATATATATATATATATATATATATATATATATATATATATATATATATATATATATATATATATATATATATATATATATATATATATATATATATATATATATATATATATATATATATATATATATATATATATATATATATATATATATATATGTATATATATATATATATATATATATATATATATATATATATATATATATTATATATATATATATATATATATATATATATATTATATATATATATATATATATATATATTATATATATATATATATATATATAATATATATACATATATATATATATATATATATATATATATATATATATATATATATATATATATATATATATATATATATATATATATATAAACTACATATATTTACCTACAGCTACTGTGTTTTGTCAAAATAGTGGATAAATTTGGCAAAACACTTGCTCAGCTGTGCAACTAATTATTACATCAGTATAAATTTTAATATAAATGCCAGAGAGATTCTAATTTAACATTCAAAAGTTTTCTGGTGGAATAATTCACCATTCATCATTAAATAAGATTTCAGTTTTCTCTTATAAATAGTTGTGTTTTTTTTTTGTCACAAATGATACATGGAAGTACATTCCAAAGTTTAGGCCCATAGAGTGATAATGCTTAATAACCAAAACGATTGCTGCATTTTGTTTCTTTTAATTTTAATTTTTAGTTTTAATATTTTTTCTGACATTCAGTAGTAAATTAAATTGCATAACGATTTTAATGCTTCCAGAATAATATATTTGTGTATTATTAGAAGATTTTATTTCACTTATGCTCTACCAGAGTAAAGGTTAAATTGTTTATATGGTGCTCCTCTGTGGCAAAATTATAATAAAACAATGGCACGCCTTTAGTATTGCTACAACAAATGTGGTAAAATGTTTTTTTGACTACAACAAGTATGATATCTCTCATGCTTTTAGAGCACAGATTACCATCTTTTCATACAATTATTTCAAACTACAGACATGCTTTTTGTAAACAGTTGATGGCTTGTTCCTTTGTGAATAATTCCATGCGTTCATTTAATCAAAGTCTAAAATAATATTTTTCTTGTAAAAACTATGGACCTGGCACCTAAATTGTATCTGCCAGTTGTCTGAAATATATTTATAATAATAATACTAATAATAATAATAATAATAATAATATATATATATATATATATATATATATATATATATATATATATATATATATATATATTATCATATTATATATATATATATATATATATATATATATATATATATATATATATATATATATATATATATATATATATAATATATGTATATATGTATAATATATAATATATGTATGTATATTTATTATCTTATTTATAACTACTTCAGCTATGTAAAATAGATTTTTAAAACTAAATAATCTTTTTTTAACAGATTAGAAAAATAATTTATGTAAAAAATTTTCAAAAACAATTTAAATTAAATCTAAAAACCAGTCTTTAGTTCAAACTCCTAAAGTGA